TCCCCTGCACCGGCAGGCGGACTCCCAACCACTGCGCCACCAGGGAAGCCCAAAATTTTATTCTTTTTAACGGCTGAATAATATTCTGTTGTGTATATATATCAATTTCTTTATCCACCTCTGTTGATGGACACTTATGTTGTTTCCATGACTTAGCTGTTGTAAATAATGCTGCAATGAATGTGGGGATGCATGTATCTCTTTGAGTGTTTTTATGTTCTTTGGATAAACACCCAGAAGTAGAATTGATGGATTGTATGGTAGTTCTATTTTTAATTTTTAAGACACCTCCATACTGTTTTCCATAGTGGCTGTGTGAATTTATGTTCTCACCAACAGTGCACAAGGGTTCCCTTTTCTCTACATCTTTGCCAACGCTTGTTATTTCTTATCTTTTTGATAATAGCCATTCTAACAGGTGTGAAGCGATATTTTGGGGTTTTTTGTTTGTTGTTGTGTTTATACAGCAGGTTCTTATTAGTTATCCATTTTATACATATTAGTGTATATATGTCAATATCAATCTCCCAGTTCATCACACCAGCACCCCCCTCCCCTGTGCCACTTTCCCCTCTTGATGTCCATAGGTTTGTTCTCTACATCTGTATCTCAATTTCTGCCCTGCAAACTGGTTCATCTGTACCATTTTTCTAGGTTCCACATATATGTGTTAATATACGATATCTGTTTTGCTCTTTCTGACCTACTTCACTCTGTATGACAGTCTCTAGATCCATCCATGTCTCTACAAATGACCCAATTTCGTTCCTTTTTATGGCTGAATAATATTCCGTTGTATATATGTACTACACCTTCTTTATCCATTCGTCTGTCGATGGGCATTTAGGTTGCTTCCATGACCTGGCTATTGTAAATAGTGCTGCAATGAACATTGGGGTGCATGTGTCTTTTTTTTTTTTTTTTTTTTTGCATGTGTCTTTTTGAATTATGGTTTTCTCTGGGTCTATGCCCAGTAGTGGGATTGTTGAGTCATATGGTAGTTCTATTTTTAGTTTTTTAAGGAACCTCCATACTGTGCTCCATAGTGGCTCTATCAATTTACATTCCCACCAACAGTGCAAGAGAGTTCCCTTTTCTCCACACCCTCTCCAGCATTTGTTGTTTGTAGATTTTCTGATGATGCCCATTCTAACTGGTGTGAGGTGATACCTCATTGTAGTTTAGATTTGCATTTCTCTCATAATTAGTGATGTTGAGCAGCTTTTCATGTGCTTGTTGGCCATCTGTATGTCTTCTTTGGAGAAATGTCTATTTAGGTCTTCTGCCCTTTTCTGGATTGGGTTATTTGTTTCTTTAATATTGAGCTGCATGAGCTGTTTATATATTTTGGAGATTAATCCTTTGTCTGTTGGTTTGTTTGCAAATATTTTCTCCCATTCTGAGGGTTGTCTTTTCATCTTGTTTATGGTTTCCTTTGCTGTGCAAAAGCTTTGAAGTTTCATTAGGTCCCATTTGTTTATTTTTGTTTTTATTTCCATTACTCTAGGAGGTGGATCAAAAAAGATCTTGCTGTGATTTATGTCAAAGAGTGTTCTTCCTGTGTTCTCCTCTAAGAGTTTTATAGTGTCTGGTCTTACGTTTAGGTCTCGAATCCATTTTTGTGTATGGTGTTAAGGAGTGTTCTAATTTCATTCTTTTACATGTAGCTGTCCGGTTTTCCCAGCACCCCTTATTGAAGAGACTGCCTTTTCTCCATTGTATATCCTTGCCTCCTTTGTCATAGATTAGTTGACCATAGGTGCGTGAGTTTATCTCTGGGCTTTCTATCTTGTTCCATTGATCTATGTTTGTGTTTTTGTGCCAGTACCATATTGTCTTGATTACTGTAGCTTTGTAGTATAGTCTGAAGTCAGGGAGTCTCATTCCTCCAGCTCCATTATTTTCCCTCAAGACTGCTTTGGCTGTTCGGGATCTTTTGTGTCTCCATACAAATTTTAAGACTTTTTGTTCTAGTTCCCTAAAAAATACCATTGATAATTTGATAGGGATTGCATTGAATCTGTAGATTGCTTTGGGTAGTATAGTCATTTTTACAACATTGATTATTCCAATCCAAGAACATGGTATATCTCTCCATCTGTTGGTATCATCTTTAATTTCTTTCATCAGTGTCTTATAGTTTTCTGCATACAGGTCTTTTGTCTCCCTAGGTAGGTTGATTCCTAGGTATTTTATTCTCTTGGTTGCAGTGGTAAATGGGAGTGTTTCCTTAATTTCTTTTTCAGATATTTCATCATTAGTGTATAGGAATGCAAGAGATTTCTATGCATTAATTTTGTATCCTGCAACTTTCCCAAATTCATTAATTAACTCTAGTAGTTCTCTGGTTGCATTTTTAGGATTCTCTATGTATAGTATCATGTCATCTGCAAACAGTGACAGTTTTTCTTTTCCAATTTGCATTCCTTTTATTTCTTTTTCTTCTCTGATTGCTGTGGCTAGGACTTCCAAAACTATGTTGAATAATAATGGTGAGAGTGGACATCCTTGTCTTGTTCCTGATCTTAGAAGAAATGCTTTCAGTTTTTCACCATTGAGAATGATGTTTGCTGTGGGTTTGTCGTATATGGCCTTTATTATGTTGAGGTAGGTTCCCTCTATGCCCACTTTCTGGAGAGTTTTTTTTATCATAAATGGGTGTTGAATTTTGTCAAAAGCTTTTTCTGCATCTATTGAGATGATCATATGGTTTTTATTCTTCAATTTGTTAATATGGTGTATCACATTGATTGATTTACATATATTGAAGAATCCTTGCATCCCTGGGATAAATCCCACTTGATCATGGTGTATGATCCTTTTAATGTGTTGTTGGATTCTGTTTGCTAGTATTTTGTTGAGGATTTTTGCATCTATATTCATCAGTGATATTGGTCTGTAATTTTCTTTTTTTGTAGTATCTTTGTCTGGTTTTGGTATCAGGGTGATGGTGGCCTCATAGAATGAGTTTGGGAGTGTTCCTTCCTCTGCAATTTTTTGGAAGCAGGATAGGTGTTAGCTCTTCTCTAAATGTTTGATAGAATTCACCTGTGAAGCCATCTGGTCCTGGACTTTTGTTTGTTGGAAGATTTTTAATCACAATTTCAGTTTCATTACTTGTGATTGGTCTCTTCATATTTTCTATTTCTTCCTGGTTCACTCTTGAAAGGTTATATCTTTCTAAGAATGGGTCCATTTCTTCCAAGTTGTCCATTTTATTGTCATAGAGTTGCTTGTAGTAGTCTCTTAGGATGCTTTGTATTTCTGCGGTGTCTGTTGTAACTTCTCCTTTTTCATTTCTAATTTTATTGATTTGAGTCCTCTCCCTCTTTTTCTTGATGAGTCTGGCTAATGGTTTATCAATTTTGTTTATCTTCTCAAAGAACCAGCTTTTAGTTTTATTGACCTTTGCTATCGTTTTCTTTGTTTCTCTTTCTTTTATTTCTGCTCTGATCTTTATGATTTCTTTCCTTCTGCTAACTTTGGGTTTTGTTGGTTCTTCTTTCTCTCGTTCCTGTAGGTGTAAGGTTAGATTGTTTATTTGAGATTTTTCTTGTTTCTTGACGTAGGCTTGTATACTATAAACTTCCCTCTTAGAACTGGTTTTGCTGCATCCCGTAGGTTTTGGATCGTCGTGTTTTCATTGTCATTTGTTTCTAGGTATTTTTTGATTTCCTCTTTGATTTCTTCAGTGATCTCTTGGTTATTTAGTAATGTACTGTTTAGCCTCCATGTGTTTGTGTCTTTTACGTTTTTTTCCCTGTAATTCATTTCTAATCTCATAGCGTTGTGGTCAGAAAAGATGCTTGATATGATTT